AATTAGTCCTGCAGGTAAATAGAAGACTCTAATTTCCAAGGTAATAAAAATGCACGTTGTAAAACTCCTACCAAACCAAGCAAACAGACCTAAGAGCTTTGACAACCCCGAGCTCTCCTCCCAGTGCTGCCCATGACCACAAGAGCGTAACTTATTCTCTCTGCCTCAATTCCTCCATCTTTAAAGGAGAGATAATAAAGTGCACTCATCTTTATAAAACACTCCTAGTTGCACTGCTACAAGGTACCACATGTACCAAATACGTGTACTGATATTACACGTGATCTCAGTGCTCAAATTACAYTGCCAATCCAATTTTTAGGAACAGCATCTACAGACTTCATGAGTTAAGTACTCAGTTTTAGGTGGCAGCATGGAAAGACTCAGCCTGGTGTGTATAATCCTGTGATTCAACACTCTCCCCCCAAAATGTGCTAATCTGCCRTTTCAAATTGTTGTTTTGCATGAGGATTCTCCATTTGCTCCAGTCCTCTCCATCACTGCCCTTCATGGAAGCTTCTGGCAGCCTGATTCCTTACATTGTGGAATCTTGTGTAAGGTGATCAACCCAGTGCAATGACTGCTCATATATCCAGTTTTGCAAGAGACTGGAGAACTGGTAAAAATACTCTAAGCAGCATTTGGAACACACTAAATAAAGAGTGAAGCCTTATTTGATATTTACTGATGTTTACATACCATGTAATTATTATTATCATTGAAAATCCCAACTTCCTCTCTTTGAACATAATGTCTAAACAGGAAAAAGTTAACCTTCCTGTTTGGAGAATTGTTAGTTTCAGAAAGAAATATATTTTTTTTCTCTCTCCCCCTTGCAGTTCTCAAAGATTTTATTTTTAATACAAATGAAAACGACAAACAATAGACTATCTAAAAGGAAGGAAAACCACATGTCTGAAACAAAYGGAGTCTGCTATGAATAGATAGTCTTTGCACTATGAAATAACTCATGTCATACCTACATTCTGACTTTTGCATATTGGGAAAGGAAATGTAGACTTATTTTTGGCGCCCGCTGCACTGTACATGCACAATACAGAAAGGAAAGTTAAGGTCAGAAAGGGAAGAAAAGCCTCTTGTCAATCTGTGCAAACAGAGAGGAGGAATCATGTAGGGAGTCAGCCTGGCCCAAAAGTAGTTTCTAAATGTGATGCAAGGTTGAATTTAAAACTTCTGGTACCTGCTTGGCACACAGCRTTCTCTTGTTCAAGTCAGTGTTGACAGTAGCCTTTTGGGTAAATCTCAGCTTCTAAACTTTGCTTTTGCAGCTTTTGTTTAGTTAATGGAAACAGTGGTGGAGCAGCACCTGCAGCTCTGTTCCAGGTGTGTGTGGAATCTCTGATGGCTGCCAGCAGCAGCACAGKGAGGCTGAAGACCAAGATGCTCAGCTCATCTTTGGGAGACACAAATCAGAAAATGGGTAACTAAAAGTTGTGTATGAAAAAAGTGCCCATTCCCAWAAGCAGAATGAGCTGTTTGGCATTCCAAAGGTGCATCCTACCTTCCCAGGGTCTGACAGGCAGCCTAATGGAACAACCAGCGGAGGAGACCCTGTGAGGACTGCTSATGTCAGTTTGTCAGAGTGGGAAGTGTTCCTGTTGTCACTTCTCCTTCATGTTATTTCACTGCAGTCAACGCTGGAGTCCTGTTGATGCCATTTAATAGCAACAACTAAAATATGTTGCACGAATGCGAGAGGATGTGATGTAAGATCACTGCCCAGAGGGGGCTGGGAAGCTGAAAAGGCCAACCTGTCTTTTATTCATCATGTTCCTAAAGCTCTTTATTCCAGGTCTGGATAATTTTAATGTTCTTCACAGCTAAGCAAAAGTTCTGAAATACTCGGGCGATTTCTTGGCTCTTGTATTCACAGTCTGCATGGATAWCCACCATCTTATGTGGAATGCATAAAAATGTGGTCTTACAGRGTCAAACACCAGACATTTATAATTGTTTTCTATTCTTTGGGGKTTTTCACACTAATCTCTGATTTTGGAAGCCTTACTTTGCAGAAGTGCCTGCTGACTGTTGGCAGTACTGTGCAAGTGCAAAGAAACCCTGGGTGATGCATGTAGGAGTGTCCCACTCGAGACTGAGCTCTCTGTAGGGTTATCTGTGCTCGTGTTCTCTGCAGCAATTAAGACATGAACTTCACACTGTATGCAAAGATGTTTATTGTGAAAATCTAGAGTTTTAAAACCACTAACTTGTTATGGATTTACATTCTTGTGAAACTCAACGAAGCATCTGAGCCAACYRCCATAAATCATGTTAGGAACACATGATGGTCWGAACCAACCACCCTACACCACAGTGTGAGCTCTCATTAGGTCCATCACTTGTTTTCCAAGGTTCTTTAACTTTTTCTTCCCCTCTAGTTTAACTGAGTCATTCCCAGAATCCTTCTCTGGTTAGCCACAGTAACAGGAGAGAGCAGGAGTTTTACAAGGGTAACGAGGCCTTTGTYTTATAAGRTTTTACTTWTCCATGACAGTTCTCCACACAGGCAGTGCAGCTCYTGGGGTGGGGCAATGCTGGATACTGTTGGAAATTCAATCTATCACCTTGTTAATTAACAGCACAATACATCCTGTGGAATAGTCTCTGATGGGGATCAGCAAACACAGTTGGGTTTTGCTGAGACCACTCCACCTGTCAGATGCGAGGGGATCCCTGATTTCACTGATTTTGTGTGTGAAATAACAATAATGTAACACATGTGTGTGAAATAACAATAATGTAACACATGAAACAATATGTGGCCATACAAGTTTTTGCTTCTGTTACTCTCCATCAGGATATGTTTATAGAATCTGAGGTCTGGTCCTGAGTGCCTGGATTTCAAGACAATCTTTGGACTCTGACAGCAAATGTTGCTTCTGGATAACACTGCCCACTTGACCAGTTACTGTTTATAACATCTATTGCCATGGCAGGAGTGGGCTTTTGCTATTGAATATCTGGGCTGATACCATGGGGCACTGAGTCACCGCCCTCTGAAGATTCCCTGTGCTGCTACTGTGAATAAATTCACCAGCTTCCATCTKAACAGCTTGCTTTAGAGCCAGTGCCACATTTCGCACCCTATTCTGGACCCTCTCCAACAAGTTAATGTTTTCCACTGAGGAAGGTGAGTAAAACTGATGAGAGTATCCTTAACTGAGGAGCCATAAAATTCTAATAGAGCAGTAATGTTCCCAGYGAGCCTGAAGGAAATCCAATCAATAGTTATGAGGTTGAGGCTCAATTTATGGCCTTAATTCATCAAGCATAGTCATTCTCCATTTTTGTACAGGATGCTTTTGTGGTTCCTGCTGAGCAGAGGAGTATTAAGTCTGAGCAAGCCCTTTCTCAACAATTCCCCAGGCTTTGTCATTTAAGATGGGTGACTCTACAGAGGTGGTGATCAGGGTCCCATGATCTATTTGGAGGCATTTTTCGTCAGATAGGACAGACTGTACCAACTRTACATGTTCTGAGAGTCTCAGACTTGGAATGGTTTCACAAAGAATAAAAAAGAAAGTTATTTTGGATCTCTTTAAAATTTGACACTGCAGTTATTCATTAGCCTGCAAACCACTCCACAGTCAGGGATGGTTCAGGAAAATACTCTCCAAGAATCCTTTTACTGCTTTTTGTAGACAACTTGCAATAGAATTTGCAAGATGAAGGCTGAACTAATTCTACGTTTCTAAGCTKTCTCTGTGGAAAAAAGAAGTTTTCCCAGCTGCTTCCAGCACAAGTGTGATCACTTTAAGTTTCAAAATTGGTTTTTAAGCACAGAGGCAGACAATGAAATTTCATCCAAGGGATTTATTAAAACCTCTATGTAAAAAGTCAGGCCTTTCCAAAGCCTAAAATGAATGCAAACCCTCTGTAGCCACCTCTCATCAGCAGACAGAAGTGTTTCAAATGAAATGGAAAAGCCTTGGTTTAAGCCATTTCCTGTAGCTACTTGTCATTCCTGCATACACAGGTTAGCAGGAGAAAGTTTTAAGTGYCTGAAGTGAGAGGAATATTTTGTAAATCTACAGTAAGGCCCTAAGTGGAGAGGGCTCTTAATTAACACTTGACAAAAAATATTTTGTGATACTCATTCAAGCAAAATTTCTTAAGGATGCTTTTAAAATCCCCAACTCTTTCACCAAGCTTAGATCCATCGAGCACCTGGACCTGGATCTTCRTTGTAGAGATTCATTCCTGCTTTCCTGGCTATCTGCCAGCAGGGTTTTTGTGAAATGTTCCCTGCTGCAGCCTCTGCTTTTAAAGGATGAATGAAAATATCTGCGCGGACTGTCGGGACAAAAAGGAGAGAGAGCCGGACATTGTGAGAGAAATGTAAGAAGTGCAGAGGGCTGAAATGCCCGTGGTGGTTTTTCTGAGAGCCTGGGGGAGTTCTGCGGATCCAGGGCTGCTGGTGCTTTTCCTGCAGCGGGATTTTTCCTCCTGCCACAGCTGCAGCGGGAGAGGCTCGGGAAAGCCGGGCTGTTCCCTGAGCCAACAGCGACACCCAGGGCTCCASCAGCTCAGTCCGGCCCTTCTTCCAYCTGCAGCCCCGTGTCYCCTGCCGGCTGGAAAACATCCCAAGGGTTAGCCCTTTTTGCCTTTCCGGATGAGCACATTGATTGAGAAGGAAGAGTTATTTTGCTGTAGTAATTTTATCAATAGAAATCGTGTGTAGTGTGCTGAGAGTAAATTAGATCAGCCACAGACACATTTATACTGCAGCGCATGCATTCACATACAGTGGGTTACACTCTTTGCTCTCTATCAAAGCACAGATATAATTATTGTGTGTTATTTGTTTGCAGCTAAGGTTGAAGCAGGCAGCTTATAAAACCTCCCATTCCTGCTTCCTTACCAGTGCAAAAAACCTCACTGGGACCACACTGAAGTTATTTTGGGAAACTTTTGTTGAATAAATGCACAAACAGAGGTGAAGAGTACACTCAGGGAGCATGTCACAATCAAAATTACAGGTGCAGGTTCTGTAACAGCAAACACTGAATCAGATTTTTATTAAAATTACCCTGAACAACCCCTTGAAGACACCACACCTGAGCAGACAGTGGTAAAATAATTAGAGAAGTAAGAGTGKATCAGGCATTAATGACTCTAGAAAAATACTGCAACAGAAGCAGAAAAACATCTTAGAATTGTTCAGCCCACAGGATGTGCTGAGGACAACCCAAATTGCTCAGGACAATTACAAAGTACAGGTAACGTACTTGTAACACTCCCAGAATGCCAAAGCCCTGGGTACCTGGTACCAGTCTACACAGCTACTGAGGTAGTTTCTTGTTTGCTTTCCAAGCTCAGACTTGCTTCAGATCCACCTGTTCCCCTGTCTCTGCAGGGCAGGAGGAAGCTCAGCTGAAAAAGCACCAAAGCTGAAACAGCAGCAAATGCTCTGGACCCACCACTGTAGTTTGACCACCAAGCCCAGAAGTTGTGGATGGGAAGAGCATGAATGRAGTCCAAAGTTTTATGTTCCAGCTGAGCTGAAGTTAATTGAGTAGAAAATAAACAAATGAAATCTGTGTTACACTAATTTAAAGCATAAAGGTGCAAAACCATGATTGCGCTGTGAAACAGCGTGAAAAGTTACCAGTGCAGCAAGCACAGGGGTGAGCTKTCCAGGAACCACAATGGTCAGGCTTGGCAGCACCTGAGAGCACATTTGGTCACTCCGGGACAGTACCGTGGGCTCACTTTGATAAAAAACCATGAGCATCCTTTCTCTAGCTCATGAAACAGATCATTAAGAAAGAAGTACTCCAAAAATCAGGACTAAAGTCCCCRAAGATGCATCCAAAATGTGAAGCATCTGTGATTCATTCAATCCTTGTGAAAATGCCTGTTTTAGTTCATAAAACAACTGCACTTTCATGYATTTGCTGCTTGCTTTGTCTCTGTGCTCTGTAGGATTTATTCTGAAACAGTCACCATTCTKCCTGTCTTCTCAAGGAAAGATGAAGCAAACTTCTGTTTATTCCTGCCACGGCACAGCTGGAAATGGGATATTTGCCAGGAACTCACACACTGTCAGTGTGACACAGTTGCTACAGTCTGCAGCTCTATACCGCTGGTTTTCCTTTGCACTTTTTTTTCCTTCAGAATTTGGCAAGAAAGGTTATCTAAAAACCASTCTACATCTTGAAAATCTTCAGGCCACCACAAACACTGACTCCTTTGTAAGAAGTTTCGAATTGGCTTGTGTTTCATCAGCTGATACTGAGAAAGGGACCCAACCACCACCACGATGAGGACATCTTTCAGATCACAGAAATACCTGCTCTGGGCGAAATTGAAGGCTTCCACGCACCACCCATCTTTGAGAAACTGCCTGGTCACGATGCAAATTGTTTTCCTGCTGTTCCAAATGGCGTCGCGAATATTGTTGATGTGTTCTTCCCCAGGCAAGAAATCTCTTTCCTCAAAACACAAGGTAAATCTGTTCTTATCARAATACTGTGAATCCAGGCGCTTTAGCAAAGAATTCTGCACCCATTCAAAGTCATTTTTGCTGTAGCACAGATAGGCATCATATTTATATTCACCTTTATCTGCTACTCGTGGCTGGCTGTCTATCACTCTTTTGGTGATGGTTTTATACCAGATGAAACAAATCCCCCGGCAGCGACTGAAAATGACGCCTGCCACCAGAAACAGGAGAAGTGTGACAGAGAAGAAGATGAATAACGAGAATCTGAGTGTCTGCTGGAGTTCATCTTCGTCACAGTCATCGTATGTCAGGTAGGACAGGGGCACCCCTTCAAAGGCAGGGGGGTACACACAGTACCTGTCAGAYGGGGAGCCAGCCAGGGTCACGTTGGTACTGTTCAGCCACACCAGCAGGCTCTTCAAAGAGCAATCACAGATATAATTATTGTGTGTTATATCCAGAATACTCAAAGTCATAAAAACTTCAGGCTCAGGGGAAAGCAGCTGGTTTCCGGATAAGTTTAGGTTTGTTAGGCTTTGTGGAAAAAGCCCAGGAGAAAGATGAGACAACAGGTTGGAAGCCAGGTTAAGACCTTTAAGAGATGTCAGACCTCTAAAAATCTCCTGTGGAAGATCACTAAGGTAGTTGTTATTCAGATGCAGAAMCTGAAGTTTGGACAGTGCCCCAAAGACATCCAAACATGAACCACTCTCCCACACCAGCTGTAACATATTTTCACCTAGGTCCATAAATATTAACTGATTGTTTTCTATAGCATTTGTGCTTTTCTTGCAATAGGAGAAGCGGTTCTGTTTTAAGAAGAGAAACTGCAGGTTTGGAATTTGGAAAAGAATGTACAGGTCACCTAGGTTTGCCAACCAATTTCTTTCGAAATCAAGGTGTGTTGCAGTTATTGCTCTGTTGTTGTCAACTGCAGACATTAGTTTATTGTCACCTAAAAGGGCATAGGTCAGATGTGGAAAGGAAGGGAGCCTTTTAATGGCATTGTCTCGGAGATCAATTATTTTCAGATTTACTAATTTCCTGAATGATTCATCCATAATCATCCCAATATGATTTTGCTGTAAATCAATATACATTACACTACGTAGACCCTCGAAAGTATAATCGGACAACTCACCCAAAAGATTACTTGAGAGATTGAGAATTTTTAAGTTGCCTAGGCCAAAAAATGCTTGCCTTTGGATCTGATTTATCTTGTTTCTGAAAAGGTTCAGTGATTGCAGATTACCAAGACTTTGAAAGACTAAAGCATTAACAGAGAAAATGAAACCCCTTGAAATGTCAAGGGAATTAAGATTACTTCTCCCTAGTCCTGTAAAAGTAGAATCATCTGGGTTTTTTAAATTATCAAAGCCAAATCCTGAACCCATTGTATGAGGGCCAAGTATTAAAGAATGGATTTGAGTGCCTTTAATGGCTGTAGAGAGGTACTGGATTTTCTCTGTGCTCCAGCCATTGCCACTAAGGTCTAGTGAGGTAAATGTAATATTTTTGAAAGGATTGGGACACTTGGCCCAGGCCACATCTTCTGTCTTGTACATAGAATTAGAACTAAGGTCAAAAGACAAAAAGTGTTTTCCTTGGAAGCTGGTAAGATTGGTTTGACAAAAGTTGGATATCTGGTTTAGTTTCAGGTTCACTCTTTTCAAGGCTGTTAGATTAGAAAACAGGGGATGAGGATGAAGTTTTGTGATTGCATTCTTTGAAAGATCCAATTCTTCCAATGACCTCAAATCTTGAAAGTAACCTTCTTCCAGGATGGCATTTCCAAGGCGGTTGTAATACAGACGGAGCACAGTCAGGCTTGACAAGCCCACAAAAGCATCGAGATCCAGATGAAGAACTGTGTTGGACCCCAAGTCCAAGATGCGAAGGTTTGGCAGGTTCCTGAAGGCTCCTTTCCCTATGGTAACGGGATGGAYGTACTGACCTCCGATTTCCAGCAGCCACAAGCGCTCCAGCAGCGGGAACGAAGCCGCGGTCACTCGTCCGATGTAGTTGAAAGCCAGGAGAAGCTTCCCTGTATCCTTGGGCACAGGTGGAATATCCGTGAGGTTGCAGAAATGATACACAGACACTTGGGCTTCAGAGTAGCACATTCTGGATGCACACACCCCAGCAGCGAGGGACAGGCCAAMAACAAGGAGGAGCTGATCACAGAACATCTTGAACCTGCGTGGGGAAAAAGSGACAACAGTGAGAATTAGTTCTGCAGTTGGCTCTCCACACAGAGTTGCAGAGCATGTTTTTAACAGCTGCAGAATAGAGGATTAATGTCACACTAAGAGTGACTTGTGATCTGGGATTTATCCTTTCTCTGAAGTCTAACAGGCATCACTTGGTGGACTGCTTGATCAGAACATGCATCCCAAAAAGACGTGAGCACCTCCTACAACCTAAAATGTAACTCTCCTTTATGTTCCTTAAAACCCCACCAGGTGAGAGTCAAAATCTTGGCCTAGCTATTTAATTTGCATCACGGAACTGGTAATGCTGGTGCATTAGCTTAGCTCCTTAATTAGTTATCCAAAAAGACTGAAACCGTTTGGATTGTCCAAGTCAAGTGCAGCCACCCCATCATCTCGACAGAGCAGGCAAACTCTGCACTTYCCCTGAGTGCTCTCCTTGTCAGGGCAATCACCTGTTTGGGATTCAGATTGCTGTCACACAGGGGTGCCTAACAGCCAGGAGTCTGTAAGAAGGGGAACCTCTTTTGGGGCTCCTTGAGCCTCACATTAACCTGACAATGTGAAATTGTTCTGGAAACAGCTGTAAAATAG